TGGCTGTCGGACCGTGATTGACTTTATGTTTACGAGATCTTGAATGATTTACTGCTCAAACCTCAAGGAGGAAGCCATTTTCCCGCCCAAGGGCCTACTTCTTTCCTACTTCTTTTCGTCCGTTCGGTTTTTTTGAAAAGTAACATCTGATGTCTTCTCGGGGCCGAGGAACAGCTCCTCCTGACGGGCGGAAATTGAGGCATTTCATGCAGTCAAAGACCGGTAGACGGAAATTCTAGCCGAATCCGGTCGTGCTTTCTCGACGGTTCAGACATTCCTTTCCGCCTGAAAGCCGCCGACGTTATCTTCGCAAGATCAAGGACAGGAAAATGACCGTGGTCTGTAGACGTTTCGGGGGGGGTTCAATGATAACCTGACGGCTAGAATGATGATTAAATCGCGAAGGAAGTGGGAAACTTGTTGTTTTCGGAGATTCAGGCTTGGTCGGGATTGAGATGTACCCGGCTGCTTGCGGTTGTACACTCATGCCATAATATACATAGTAACTTGCTTGTTTGACGTTTGCGGAGCCCTTGGAATTTTTGAAAGCAATGCGCTGTCACACAGGGGCAATGAGGACTAGGCATTGAGTCTTAACCAAGACCATACATATCATGGCTAAAACCGCTCTTGAAACATAGAGCAGAGCAGAGCAGAGCACATGAGTGATTTTGCCAGTGGACTATTCCTTAGGCTACCACCATCATGACGGGAGATCACAACCGAACCACTGATTTCCTTAGCACCAGACTAAGAAAATCCTGCAGATCCTCGGAAAGTTTCACTGTTTCACTTCAGTTCCACTGGGCCAAGAAATCGACTAGTAGAGAGGTACTAGTCCAGAAGGAAATCATTGATAGCCTCGTGTAGTTGAAATACCCGCCATACGAAGTAGTACATGGATTTCCTTTCTCCTTCGGTAGATCCCGTCCAAAAGAGAGGCATATCTACCTTACCTAGTCCAAGACTTTGCAGTCTGTACTATGATCCACTCCAAGGATGATGACATGATCAGGAGTGGTAATGGCGATTTCTCACTGCATGATTTTATTTAGAGTATGGATTTTATCTATGATTGGTTGTGCAATCATGCTCTGGTCTCTGGCAAGAGGTTAGCCCGAATCTGGATAATGCAGACATTGATGGCTGTAGCTAATGTTATATGAAGGGGAAAATAGTTCAAAGTTTAAATCCCCCTCCTTGAGCAATAATCCCTAGGCCCAGTGAACTATTTTGCTTGTGATAGCACCACTCGGTCATATCCGAGTCTATGGAGTCTACTGTACTTGAGATGGTGACAATTGTTATGTAAAATGCCTGATATCAATGCCTGATATCGAATGATAGCGATACACAGTACTGTGAGGCAGATAAGAAGAAAGCGGATTGCCCGGACTGAGGCAAGCTGGGTACTAACAGCACCCGGTAGACTGCAGATTGCGGAAAGGCTGCTCGAGGGAGGAGGGGGGAAGGTGAAAAGATGTGCTGATTCTAGAAATTTACTACAACAGGCAATAATCATCTGATGATCCCAGTGGCGAAGTCTACTGCTTCTATGTACACATTAACAAGGAGTAATCCATATCAACATGCATCATCCATGCATAAGAAGAAAATTTGTTCATAAATACTAGTAAGTTCTAAACGTACAGAGCAGATACTCGGTACTGTACTCCCCTTTGAAATTTCTTAAACTTTGAGGACGGGAATGGCCGACAGAGTTGAATGAAGGCCCTTAGGTTGTGGGCTTGTGGCTAATCCGGCAACCGTCGCCTTGTCTGATCTGAGACACAAAGCTGAACCCAGCCAATTAAAATAGTAGTTGGTTGAACTCTGATTTTGGCCCCCATCATTTCGAGCTCAACATATTGGATATAATAATACAGACTACAGAGGATGTACCGACTACTTAGGTACTTCTCATCAAAGTATATGTTGAGGATAAGTAATGGCACAGGTATGGTAAAAAAAGGAGTGTTCTGTTGAAGTAAAAAAAATAAAATAAAAAAAAGCCTCAGAGGCTAAAGCTTTCTTGGACCCAAGTGTCAACTGCATTCGTCCTAGATGAAGCTGGACCCTGAACGACTGTCAGAGACTTTGTCTGCATACAGTTACCAAAGTAGTCTGGACAGTACTCTACCACGGGGGTTAGGAGTTAGGAAGGGGGACAGGCTGCAATCCTGACTACCTAAGTAGTACCTACTCCGTACATAGTACCTAATTCCTGATTTGTCTTATCACCTGCACTGGCCACTTAGATTTCTCAGGGCTGTGGATAACAATAATAGGCACTAAGATTGCAAATCCACATTGGTCGAGTTATCTTCCAGCTTAAAGGTTAATCGTCATGATAGAGGACTTAGACAATATGTTGAGTGAAAGGCCCGGTTAGTCTCCCAGACTCTTTAAAAACAAATCCTCACTACTGTGTGGTTGTGCACACTTCTGACCTGCTCATCATCATAGCAGGAACTTAGAACAAAATCCATCAGCACTTGCTATCCTTTCCCCGGGTTTGAGAGGAGGTTATTCCTATTCAGGTATGGTGTGGTTAGGCCTGAGACCGCGTCTCCAAATGTGGCAGGTCCTTAAAAGTGCCAAGCTGGGGTAATTTTGCGCTAATTTCATTGATAACAGCCCATGGTACAAAGTACAGTACAACTTTCATACCAGTGTCATGCATACCTTAAGTAGTTGGTATTAAACAACATTATTCACTGTTCATGGTGGATGAATAAAAGCTAAAGGAATGTGAGGACTGAGTAATCATGTCTGTTCGCAGTGAGATTATCACATGGCTGAAACTTCAAATCCTTTCTTTGAATTGTCTCCTCTTCTTGTGTCATTCAGCCTTTCTGATATGGGGGTCTAGTACAGCAGTACCTTACCTTAGCTCCGGTCATTGTATTTATGTTCATATCGGGGTTATATTATTCTCCGACGCCTACTCCGTACTATAATTCTCGCTACTCTGATGAACTGTATGATATCTATATCTCAAGTACGAAGAATGTTGCTGCTTTACTGCTGTCCGTCTATCATTGTACCAAGATAATTTACTGAGAAGTCGATACCTACCTTACGACGGAGTAAGAGAGTGTGGTCTATGGACTGACTACCCCACCAACTTTGTGACTATGAGGCTACATGCCAAACAAAGTCGGGGCTTGGGAGGCAGAACTTTGGAACGGATCGGTTGCGGACGCTAAAGAAGCCTGGAAGGAGCTAAAGACGCATCTTTCCTCATGATCTGGTGGTATCTGAATTCCCTCCCTGCAGCACCCCTGTTCTAGAAGGAAATGCTAAGAGTGAGGCGTCTACTCGCTCTAAGTCTATGGCGCAGATAAGAAGGTATGCTTGACAGGCATCGGCAATTTGAAGCAGGAAGGAAGGTGAGGAAAAATAGGTCAGAGAGGAAATTTAGCGAAATGATTATCTTCATTCTCTAATAATTTCAGATATCGAAAGAAAGAAAGGATCCTCTGTACTTCATTCATCTGTAAGAGCCCACTCATCCAGATGGCCTAGATAAATCCTTAATTAATACCCTCAATCCGGTCTCCACAATTAAATCCGAATTCAAGCAAGTCAACAGGCCGTCTCCGGCTGGGGTCTATCTACCTTACTCTTCTGGCCACCTCTGCAAGCAAATCACTTTCCATCATATCATTTTTCTACCTCACAAAAGTCATTATAATTATGCACATACGGAGCATTCTGTTTCCACTGTAGAGATCTGAGGCTACCTAGATACTTCAGTTCTTGCCTCTAATTACATTATTACTTACCTTCATACGGACTAGGTATGCAGTACCTTACAGAGTAAGGTACCTTAGGTAAGGTACCATTAGTAACTTGTTATTATTACGGTAAGTACGAACCGAGTACCGACTAGGTACCTACCTACTAGGTACCTTACTACTAGTACGGAGTATCTAGGTACCCATCTAGGTCTGATCCACTCTCGCTGAATTCAGCAACTTCAGCAATGCTTATGCATCCGCTCGCTGATGAATAAAATAAACCTTTGCCAACAGACCGACTTATGGTACAGAGTACAGAGTACAGACTAAGTTGCAGAGTCTGAGACTACAGTAATATCTAAGGTACTGGGTGAATTGGAGAGAGGATTGGATTGGAACTACTCCATTCGCTCCTCGTTCCCCACGCCAGTTCGGGTCGTTTTTCTGGCCTTCACATCCTCCATCCCCATTTCATCTTAATTACTATCTATTCCTTTCCTGGTCCTTTTCTCGTTCGGGCTGCTTTCAACAAATCCCGTTTCAATCCAGATCTCTTGATATCTCCTCCGACCTACTCTCTAGTTACTTGTCTTGCGCTTCCGGATCGCTCGTCTTGTAACTCTTGTTGTCTTTTGTGGACTTGCCGTTTTAAGTCTTGGGATCGCCTCCACCAACCAAGACACTAAACTAACTACTACTGCATTTACTACATATCTACATCTTACTACTTACTTGCAACAATCCTGCATACTTTACATTGTTATTAACATCATCATCACCATCATCATCATCATCACCTTCATTGTTCATCATTTGTATCATTCTTCCTACTGTTCTACCCTAACTATACCCAAAATCACCTCGGAGTTGGAAGCCAAAATAACTCACCTACCTTATTCCGGACCTCTCTATATTCTCACTCCTGCTTTCCTCTCTCATTGTTCATTCATTCTTGTCTCCCACTTTCTTTCCTACCCCTCCTGGCCTCTACTGTCTTCTTACGGACTGCTCGATCCACTGCACTATTCCATTTCCATCATCTTCGTCCTCTCCATGCTCGTTTCGCCTTAGGTCTTTCTTGCGTCCTCCGGACTGGTCACGATCGCCTCCTCCTCCATCCTCTCCCACTTCTACTTCTTTCCTCTTCACGCAACTACTTGACCTTTCTCCCTTCTCCTTGCATCCTCAAATCCATCGTCTCTTTCGTCATCACTGCATATATCAACGCCTTCGTTCCAGTCATACATTGCCCTCGCTATGGAGGGTTTCGATACCATGGCCATGCCATATCTGGCCAGTCCGTTGTCACTGGGCAATATCCAGGGCGCTGACTACCTTAATGCCATGCCTGGTATTGATATACCCGATCAACGCTCGAATTTCGACTCGGACACATTCGTTAGGTAAGTCCATCGTCGCCGTGCGCTTTACTGAAGCTTATCTCTCAATCGATCATTCTGACCATGCGCTATGGAACAGCGGCGAGGATATTCCCTTCACCCAGCACAGCTTGCCGAATACATTGAAACGCTTCTCTTCGGGGTACGACGATCCCTTCACGGAAATGGTGACCCCGTTCGACCCCGCACCCTCCGAACAACCCCCGGACTCGTCTATTGACCACAATAACAAGTTGCTGAGTTTCTCAATGCCCGCGTATAATTTTACTCTGCTTGATTATTCGTTGCGGAGGACATCTTTATCGTTGTCGGCTCAGTTACATGGCATGTTCTTCCTCGCAGAATCACCTTGGACCACATCCCCGACTGAAAACGTACCGCCTCAACAAGGGGCGGAGTTGACCTGCTACCGGCGCAACTTGTTCCAGATTACAGGCTCCGTGACCCTGCCACGCAGTCTACGGTACATCATGACCGAGCAGGGTGATCGTATACCTATTCTCGCGCAAGAACTCTGCGTTTCCGCCACCGAGTCGGTGGAGGGTAATTCGGTCAAAATCATCTCAGTGCCCTGGAAAACGCCCGCTGCCAATGGCAATCAACCGACTGATGACAATGGCGCTAGTAACAACAATACCAAAGTGGAAAAAGAACCACCGCCAGTTCCATTGGACATCATGGCGGGCCAAGACCTGGACACCGACTACGCGACCTTCCCAATTGCTTGGAAGCGGCTACAATTCCGTGTTGCGACGGCCAACAACGGGCGGAGGAAAGAGCTGCAACAGCATTTCGTTGTCCGACTGAAGGTTGTTGCGACTTTGTCCACTGGCGCCAAAATCCCGATCTGCGAGGTACATTCGGGACCTGTGATTGTGCGAGGCCGTAGTCCGCGCAATTTCCAATCTCGTAAGGACTTACCTCTAAGCAACAGCGCTGCCGCATCCAGAAAGAGCGCCCACGCTGCTGCTCTCAACCGCACCCCTACCAGTGATACCGAAGCCCGGCCCAGTTTGACCCCAGGCAAGGCGAAGTCCACGGCTAAAAGCACCTCGCCGGACACTTCGCTTCCTCAGCCTGCCATTGCAGCGCAGCGACAGTCGTCCCCTGACTGGACTCAGATACCTCACTCATCGGGAGGCGCGCTTTCTTCTACACCCCTACCTCAACCGTCAATTTATCCTCAGTCTAGTCCGGAATTTTCTCGCATGACGGACAGCCAAAGACGGTCCAGTGCTATGGCAGCACCCATCAACCTTTCCCTACTAGATGACGATACGGGTGGCGATGGTGTCAACTTGGTCGATTCAGCCAGGCCGGCCTCGTACACTAACGACGTCTCGCACAAGAGTCGCGAGATGGGCAGTTCTGCGCCGCCTACCAAAATGCGCAAACTCTCCCACGGAGTGTCCCAGGCGCAGTCACGAAGCACATCAACGTCGCTACCCCTGCTAAACACCGCGAGCCTGCAGCAACCCTTTGCATCGTCTCTTCCGTTTCCGAACGAGAGTGCTGATCTATTGTATGAGTATTTTCCTCTGGGCTTGGACGATTGGCAAGCACCGGTGGATGCAGTCTATCGTCCACATGTGGTGCATCACACCAATATGCCAGAAATGAAATTTGTCGCTGCGAGAGGGAGAAGCAAGCGGTATTTTGCTGCGGAAGATGTCTTTTAAGAGAACTCTTGTATGGAAATTCGGCAGGGTCCCATTAGTCTTACTATTCCGCAATGAGGTTCTTTGAAGAATCAGCGGCTATGAGTCCTACCTATATTGATCAACCTGCGATCCAGCATCTCCTTCAAAGACTCTGTATCCGACACTCCTCGCCCTCCCCCTATACCCGGGATCCTTCATTCTTTACCCCCGCATTCCTCCTTCTCCATCCTTTTCTCTCTATTTCTGGTGTTATTTATGCTGGCGCATCTCCTTCCAGACAGAATACACACGATTAACAGTGTGCGCATTGACTAGTCATATGTATGGGTATGGGCTACACTGCAATTGAAGGGGCAGTTCTGGCGTGAAGGAGTTATGATGACGGCGGAGTTCTTTTCCCACTTTGTCTCCTGTTCCTTTGATTTTTTTTTTTTTTTTTTTTTTTTTTTTTTTTTTTTTTTTTTTTTTTTTTTTTTTTTTTTTTTTTTTTTTTTTTTTTTTTTTTTTTTTTTCTTTTTTTTTTTTTTTTTTTTTTTTTCCCTTACTCTACAAAAAAACAAAATTTTGGTTTTTTATTTTTTTTTCCCAAAATGAACTTTAGATCTTTTTTCTTCTATTTCTTTTTTTCGTTTTTTTTTCTAATACTTAATCTGTCTTCTGAGTTATATGTTTAAAAAAATAAAAA